GCCCAAGTGACACCTGAGGAACAGATCCTCAAATGACCTTAAGTGTGAAAAATAAATTGATTTATATGGGCCAACTGTATGGTCTTATATACCCAAAAGGAAAGTATAACCAAAGAGTAAAGTCATCAATATATTTCTTTAAGAGTTCAAGGGAATATACTTCCCAGACATTAAGCTTAAGTCTATATAAAAAGTTATTTAGACAATTATTTCTCATTGATGATTTTCTTCCTAACCAGAAAGTGCTGCTCAGATGTAAGACTTCAAAGCCTGGTCTCCAATACTGTAGTGCCCACCTGTAGCTAAGGGAGACAGCCAACTACTGTTCTAAAATGATGGATAAATTTGTTTTCTCCCCCTATTTAGAAGCCTTTTAGTGGGAAATGACCCTGATTCTAACTACTCCAACAGCTATCAAAATACCTGAAAGCAAATCCTGAATCCATCACTCTAGAGTCCATCCTTGAAAGACAAAAGAAAAATGAGAAAGAAGCCAATAGAGGGATGCTTTTGGAAGCTCTTGTCAAGAAATTCCAATGGACTCTGATATGAACATTTGAAAATTGCCCTGTTCTGACTTTTTTCTAGTTCCCTATCTAGACTTGTAATGCTAATTACTCTTGCCTTTACTTCTCCTTCACATCTCCTATTCACAATTCAAGGACTTTCTTTTCCTCCTAGAGATAAGAGTCATACAATTTTGGAGTCTTTTAGGTAGACCCACTGAAGGGGTACTCCAATTGCTTCAGCCTGCGTCCCTATTCGGCATTGAAGAAGTCAGAGCAGTCTGTGTCCCTATTCCCTATTGGCAATTTGGGTAACCTCTTCAGAGGATGGGGTGATAAGAATAGGAGGTAGGAATTAGCTAGGCAGTTAGGATAAAAAGACCCCAGAGAAAAGTAGCCAACTTCTTGGCTAAAAGTCACAATGTCCTTGGGACTGTTAGCAACACACTCTGTTCCAAAGGCCAAAAATGTCAAAAGTATTTGGGAGCGTATATCTAATCCTTAAAAGATTTCAGGGTTACCTCTTCAGAGGGGGCAACGTTAGAGTACTCAAAAGCCCCATAAAAAGAAATAACGAAAGAAGAAAAAAAAAGAAAAAGAAAAAAGTGATGGGGAGAAATGGGAGGTGTTGGAAGAGAGGGAGTGGGCATGGATTTGATCAAAACACCTTAATATGAATGTATAAAATTCTCAATAAAGTTTTTGTAAAAGTTAAAAAAAAAGAAAGAAAAAGTCTTGAAAGAAATGCCAACCAAAAAAAGACAGTTTGTAGCCGCCATGTGGGTGCTGGGAATAGAACCCAAGTCCTCTGCAAGCGCAGTCAGTGCTCTCAACCACTGAGCCATCTCTCCAGCCTTGTAAATCCCTATTTTAAAGATCATTCATAAGCTTCCTACATAAATCTTCAGTAGAATAATGGGAAGGAAGAATCACCACAACATGGTTGATGAACACTGAGTGAATGCCCACTACACCAGGGCAGGGCTTCTCGAACATTTTCTACTTGTGACTCCTTTTTACCTGAGAAATTTTTACATGAATCTGAGTTTAAAGGTATATACTATAAAACAGATATAGAAATCCAATATTTACTACTAATAAATCTTGAATAACTCAGGAGGCAGAGGCCAATGGATCTCTGTGAGATTGAGGCCACCTTGTTCTCCATAGCAAGTTCCAGACCAGCCAGAGTTACAGGGAGACCCTGTCTCAAAACAAAATGTGTGTGTGTGTATATTTATATATATGGAGAGATATATATGTGAGATACACACACACACACACACACACACACACACACACAAGGGAGGGGGGCTGGAGAGATGGCTCAGAGGGTACTGGCTGCTCTTGCAGAAGAATGGGGTTTGATTCCCAGTACTGACATGGCAGTCTGTAACACCAGTTCCATGTCTGTAACACCAGTTCCAGGGGATCTGGTGCCCCCTTCTTGCCTTCCCTGGGACTGCATACATGTGGTGCACTTACATACCCCAGGCAAAACAATCATACATACAATTTTTTTAATTAAAAATTTTTAAACAATTCTGTGATTATATAT